TAGTCAAAGTAATGGAGACAGAAAGTATTAATGGTGGTTGTCTGGGGCTGGGGAAGGGGGGATGGAGAATGATTATTTAATGGATATAGAGTTTCAGTTTGGGTTCATTTAAAAGTTCTGGAGATAGGCCAGGCGCAGTGGCTTATGCCTGTAATCCCAGCACTTTGAGAGGCTGAGATGGAAGGATTTCCAGGAGTTCAAAGTTGCAGTGAGCTATGATCACACTACTGCACTCCAGCCTGGGTAAGAGAGCGAGACCCTGTCTCAAAAATTAAAAAAATATAAAAAAGTTCTGGAGATAGTGGTAATAATTGTACAACAATGTGAATGTACTTCATGCTACCGAACTGTACACTTAAAAATGGTTAAAGTGGTGATTTTTATATTGTATGTATTTTATATTATATATATTTTATCACAATAAAAATTGGGCTCAGCAGTTAAGTATTACAAAGGCATTACAGTCATACTAACATCAAATTGAAACTTTCTATTTCACCAAATTCAGAGTGAAATTGAACTGAAAAGCAGATTACTTTCTTACTGTGTGATTCAATATTATTTTGAAGGTCACATTACAGTATCTTCAAAATCACCAACCGATTTTGATATGTTTATCAAGTTTGGAGAAAACACTCTAGTATCTTACATAGTTATTACACTGATGAGGACAGTAATAATGAATCCCAGACATAATAGATGTAATAAGTGGATTCCCCAAGGTCACACATAGTAAGTGGCTTGATAGAGGCTATTCTGATTCCTGATTTGATGTCAGTCTCATTCATCTACAGAGTTCCTTCGCCTTTCTCCTCCTCTTCTTCTCCTTTGGCATCCAAGACTGAACTCCTTTTGTTCTCCTTCCTGTTTTACTTCCTCTATTTTTTGTGGGTTTTGTTAAATTAATAGACTTCATTTTTTAGAGCAATTTTAGGTTTACAGAAAAATTGAGCAGAAAGTACAGAGAGTTTCCACATAACTTCCCCCTACCCCCGCCAACCTCCCCATTATTAATATCTTGCATTAGCATGGTATGTTTGTTATAATAGATGAGCTAATACTGATAATTATTAAAGCCCACAGTTTACATTATGGTGCATTCTTTGTCTTGTCCATTCTATTGGTTTTGATAAACGTATAATGACAGGCATCCACCACTACAGAATCGTATAGTTCCACTGCCCTAAAAATCCCATTTGTTTCTCTTGATTCGCCCACGTTTAGAGATTTCCCAGAGTTCTGGCCCTCTCCTCTTTCTCTCCTTGCTTTACCGGGGCAGAAAATGCCCCTTGGGGGATCCCTTCCTCCCCACATTTCCAGGGATCACTTCCACCTTGACAACTCTCTGAGCGACCTCCCTGCTGGCCTGCTGCCCAGTACCACTGGGATGTGGAAGAAACCCCACTGTATTGTGTGTCTCCGCCCCCTACTCCTGACCACCTATTTCTCTTAATGACAAGCCATCCTCCTAGTCACCTCATCACCCTGGAATCAACTTTGGCTCTTCCCTTCTTATCCTTTGAGGCAGAGGCTTTAAAAGGGGGCAGGGGGCAGTGACAGGTTGGAGTCATGTTTGCAATGATTGTAGACTCTCTGGCTGCGGGAATCTATCTTCAAGTCCTCTGACCCATGCAAGGTGAATGGTAAAAATAATGACCTGGTGAGCCAGCAGCCACTTTCACAGAAGAAGTGCTTCTTTGTAGTCAACCCAGGAAAGACCCCTCCTTCTATTTTCACATCAAACAGGTCTTTCCCTCCCCACCCCCTCGGCTGCCTTTGATGTCTCTCTTCTCTGACCCAGGTCTTGGAACTGGTGGGAAAGAAACTCAGGATGAGACCAGATTTGCTGATCACCAATAGAAGGATTGAGCTTATTCTCTGAGGGAAACGTTCAAAGAATTTATTAACGGTCTATTTTAAATATAAACTCATCAATTTAATAAAAATGTACTGTACAAGGCTGTCTGACCCAATGTTTGCCCTCAAGTACTTCACTGAAAAGTTGAGAAGAAACCCACGTAAATAAGGAATGAAAATTCAGTGTGATGTACTGTGTAATTATAGGAGTCAGGAGATGACAAACGAATGTATTGGGGCTAGGATTGTGTCCAGGTGCACGTAACAAGAAACAGTGACATAACCAAGTAGGAGTCATTTTTCCCAAATAACAGAAAGTGCAGAGCTGTGTAGTCAGTCCAGGGAGGTGGCACCAGAAGCTCCATTAAGCCATCAGGTCTCAAACTCCCTTTATCATTCCCCTCCCACCATCTCTCATTTGTGACTTTCATCTTTATGCCTATAAGATGACTGCTTGCACATCCAGACATCGAATGTGGGTTTTGGACATGAAAAACAGCTAACAGTGAAGGTCAAAAGGCATGTACCAAGTGAGACTGTATCTTTTAACCAGGAAATTAAGAGCTGTTCAGGAAGCTCCACCCAATAGACATCCACATACACCTCATCGGCTAGAATGATGTCATGGGGCCATCAGGCACAAGTGAGCTAGGAATTCAATTTTATAAAGTGGGCACATTGCTGCACTGAACAAAATTGGAGATCAGTGAAAAAGGAAGATCTGGGACAAGCCAGCCACCATGTGGTGAAGACACTCCATCAGCTGTATAGAGAGGTCCATGTGGTGAGGAACTGAGGCATCCTGTCAGCCACCAGCACTAACATATCAGCTGCGTGCTCAAGCCACTTTAGAAGCAGTTCCTCCAGCCCCATCAAGCCTTCAGATAACTGCAGCCCCAGTTGTAACCCAACGCAATGTCATGAGACCCTCAGCTACAATCACGCAACTAACCCCTCTTGGATTTCTGTGTTAGTCTGTTTGGGCTGCTATTACGAAAATACCATAGACCAGGTAGCTTATAAACAGCAGAAATTTATTTATCATGGTTCTAGAAGCTGGGAGTCCAAGATCAAAGTGCCAGCAGATTTAGTGTCTAGTAAGGGCCTTCTTCCTGGTTCACAGACAGCCATCTTTTTTGCTGCATTTTCACATGACACAAGGGGCTAGAGGGTCTCTTTCATAAGGGCACTAATCCCATTCATGATGGCTCTGCCCTCATGATCTAATCACCTCCAAAAGGCCCCACCTCCTCCTAATACCATCACATTGGGGGTTAGAACTTCAACATAAGAATTTTGAGGAGACACAAATGTTCACACCATAGCAATTCATAACTCTCAGAAATGGCATGAGACCATAAGTGATTACTGCTGCTTCAATGAAGTTTGGGGCTAATTTGTTAAGATTAACTCATGACTAATGCAGAAAATGAGAAAGAAGAGATGGGGGAAATGTGGATTGGGCAACTAGCCATGCCTACCACAAAGAGAGGATAGTTGAAAATTTCTTTCAGAGTTGGATAAATCTTTGAAGAAGCAATAATATATTAACAAGGTGTACAAGAATAAAACAACTTGCCAGGCTGAGAAGGAAAGTCTGTGGGGAAATCCTTTGGATAAGGAGAATCCATGCCTAATTAACTGAGCCCACACACTGTATGGATATTAGGTTTAGAGGAAGCACTGCTACTTCCAGCTTGTTCATTGGTGGCACCAGCAGGGTGGGGTTTGAGGTGGTGTTGGGGAGAGAAAAGTGAAAGAAGCAGTAGATGTATGTGAGAGCTGAATCATAAGGGGCCTTGACATTCTCATTTAAAATCTTAGTTTTGATTGGAGTTTTGATGGAGGGTCTGAAGGCTCTGAAGAGGGGATACTCATTATCAGATTCTATTTGAAAAAGATCACATTGGCAGTAGTGGGGAGCATAAACTAGATACAGACTTCCTAGGCCATTTAGAGGAAAGTTCTGTTGATGAAATTAGATGAACAAAACATGGCATTTAGGTATTTTGAGTTTTTGCAGAGATCATGGGCCCTTTCATGACGCCTAAAAGGAGCAGAAAATTGTGCATCCTTATATCAAAAATACAAGTAATGTACAATAGGCAGAGAATAGCTGCCTGACTCTGGACTTAGAGCTCAGCCTAAATCACACCCTGCTACACACCCTGATGCACAATGAGATGCCGCTTCACACTTATCAGAATGGCTGAAATCCAAAGCACTGACACCAATGCTGGCAAAGATGTGGGCCAACAGGAATGCTGCTTCACTGCTGGTGGGAATGCAAACTGATACCGCCCCTTTGGAAGACAGTTGCACAGTTTCTGCTACTTAGGCAATGCCTCACCATTGGAGACCCTCTGAACCTTGGAACCCTCTCCAGCAAAATGAGGATAATGATGGAGTTACCACATCGCCAAGAGTGAGCTTCAGAAATAACTTATGTAAAGATCCCAGCAAAATGCCTGGCAAGCTGTGGGATCTATCTGGTACTCTTCAGTTGATTGTCTCATTATCTGCAAAACTGTTTAGTCAGCAAGAGGGCACTGGGCCAAGTCACCCACTTCACAAGTAAGGAAACCCTAACAAAGATGATTTATGATTTATGGCAGAGCTAAGATTTGAATCTGGGTGTCTTGATTGTCAATTCAATGTTGCTCCCCTCAGCAATGACATGCAGCCAAGCAATTACACTATTGGTAGTGAAAATAAAAGTTAAAAAGTTCTGATGAAAGATAAAATAATCTAAATAAAAGCACAGGATTATTCCCACAAGATGCATCTTCAGCCTTCTCTCCCCTGCTCTCAATCCACGTCTCCACCTGTATTAGTCCGTTTTCACGCTGCTGATAAAGATATACCCAAGAGTGGGTAATTTCCAAAGAAAAAGAGGTTTAATGGACTCACAGTTCCACCTGGCTGGGGAGGCCTCATATTCACAGCAGAAGGCAAAAGGCATGTTTTACGTGGCATCAGGCAAGACAGAAGTGCCGAGCAAAAGAGGAAAAAGCCCCTTATAAAACCATTGGATCTCTTGAGAACTCACTCACTATCACAAAAACTGCATGAGGGGGACTGACCCCATGATTCAATTACCTCCCACTGGTCTCTCCCACAACATGTGGGGCTTATGGGAACAATTCAAGATGAGATTTTGGTGGGGACACAGCCAAACCATATCTCCACCCATCTTACTGCCGCTCCATCTGACTCTTATTCATAATGTACCATAAGGTGCTGTGGAAGAGGATCATGCTTTTCTGTGAATCATCTCACTTTACCCTCACAGGTGTTCAGTGAGTAAGCGGCAATTGCCACTTGGCTTTGTCACATTTGTTACAGGTGCATTACTTTAGTTCAGAAGAAATTGAGGTTCTAGTATGGCTGGTTTTTGAGTATGTAAAGTTAAACAAGCAAGATCTCAGCCCTGGAGGAGTCCAGTATTCAGTGGGGAAAACAGGCCTCGAATGAACGCCTAGTATGCCAGATGATAAACCCTACCCTAGAGAGATAAACAACCTGCCCTGAAGAGCACAGACAAGGAAATATTTCACTGTAGTTCTGAGTGTCAGTGAGGAAGATGGATGAACCCCGAAGTTAGAATAAGGGTGCCCTTGAGTTAGGCTTTGAAGGATGAGTAGAAGCTCACCAGAAAGAAAAATGTTTGAGCCAAACGGGAGTAGCAAGAGTGATGTCCAGGAGCACAGACACTGAACTGTTGAGGAATTGAAAGAATGTGGGCAGTGCTGGAGGAGTGCATGCCTAGGCAGGGAGTGGCAAGAGATGAGGCTGGAAAGACAGGCTGAGGCCTTGATGCCTCTTCAGAGAGGGAGGTGAGGCTTCATTTCAAAGATAGTGAGGAGTACCTGGGAGGTTTGTGAGCACCGAATTCAACTCTTAGGCTTTTGGACGAGGCATCTGTCATGGGCTCCTCCTTCTGACACCATGTCTTGTCTTACAGTACCAAGGCTGTTCACCCCGCAGAATCTCACAGCGAACGCAGACCATCCATTTTACTAGGGACTGAGTCTGTCCCTTTTGTGAGCCCACTGGAGTGACAAATGAGGCATAATGGGAGTAACATACATGATCAAGAGACACTTATCTAGCCAATCCATTTGTTCATGAGGGTGATTTATCAAGAAAGCAAACCCACTGCCAAGCTGGGGGAGCAGGAGTCTCCTGGAGCTGATGCACGCTTGCTGGCAGAGCATTAATGTCACTGAGTTCCACACTCAGAGGGCCATTGCAGCTCCCTGGCCATGCCAGTGCCTCCCCGCCATCCACAGGACTGTTTGGGAGGGGACCTCCTAGGCCACGGCACCATACTAGCGGCACCAACCAAGCAGAAAGGCCTTAGGGTCCACGGAAGTTGTCATGAGCCCTTCGGGCTCCACTAATGTGATTTGTAGCCCTCATGGTGACCACATCTGGGGGCCAACCCGGGTCTTCCAAGAAGACACTGGGCGCCACTAGGACTGAAGAAGTTATTTATCACCTGCAGCATCCAGGATTGCAGGAGGAGGGAAGCATAGACAACAACCGGCCACCCATGGTTCAAGAAACACCCTGCCCAAATATTATTCTGCACCAGGCATTTACTGCCCTTCTCAGCAGCCCTCTGGATTCCGGCTCTGGGCCAGTGCCATGCCCTGTGGGAGGAAGCCCTTTCCATCCCCACCATCCCATCCAGCCTTCTCAGGTGACATCGGACCCAGCCAAGGAACTTACCAATCTAACTGGCGAGGGACCGCCTCACTGCCCGTGAGACACATAAGTAACTTGGGGCCAGGACCTCCTGTTGTTTTGTAACATAAGTACTTTCCACCCAGGGTGCATAAGTCAAGGAGGGTTTGATTGTGGAGTCCAAATCGCTGCTATCGCAGTGTTATTGTAGCCTCCCATTCTTCCTTCTGATTACTCCGCTCAACATAATCTACAGCGGTCAGCGATAAACCTGCTGGCACTCAATTTATAGGCAAACAATTCCTGTCTCTTGTCAGACGCTTATCTTTTCCAGCAGTCAAAGAAAAACTATATATAGTGTCTCTCTGGCGTCTAATCCTCTGTTTTTTTCGACAGAAGGGAGACATCAAGGTTTTATGTTGGGTGAAAGGGAGCAGAGTTTAGCTTCTTCCTGGAACATAACAAATGGCTGTGTACCAGGGTGGAGCCGGCTGGCAGCGCAGGGCTGGCTGTAGAAAGAAGAGGCAAGGGAGGGGGAGGAGCAAAGCTAGAGATGAGGCCATGACGCAGCAGCCTGCAGGTGATTAGCCCAACGCACAAACCAGGTGAGACAAAGGCAGGATTGGTGTTGGGAAGGAAAATGGCAATAAGACAAATGACCAAGAGTGGTCCTCTAGAAAACCCTCCACTTTTCTTCCCAGAACTCGGTGTCATAGTAATGCCATAGGAAGTCTGTACAGTGCTTTCTTTATGAAGCATTTTCACACTGTATGATTGCATTCCCATGGTAATCCCATAAGGCAGGTTGAGATAAGAACTACTCCCATTTTTAGATGAGAAAATAGACATGCTAAATGTGCTTGCCAAAGGTCACAGCACTGGTAAGTAATAAAGAGAAGGATAAAAAGTCCTGGCTTTCTGACATTTAATCCACTGCTTTTCCCATTCACTCCATTGTAGGGTTTATTCACCTTAGGTTAACTCAGTTGCACCTGCACATAGTCACACACACACACACACACACACACCCCTAACACTACCAGCAGCCAAATAGAAGGAAACTATATAGAAGTGGCCAAAACTTTTTTTTTATGGCGATATTTATAATACTCTCTGTCCTCTATAGAGATGCAATTGATTACTGCTCAGAAATTATTCTTAGCACTTCATAAAAAAAGCCAAAATTAATTAGACATCAGCAAAAGAAACCTTCGTTTAATTGGCTGCTTTCTGTCCTCCAGTCTTGGAGGAAAAAAAAATGCCCCAAAAAACAAGTTGATAAAAAGGATTTTTTTTGGCCGGGTGTGGTGGCTCATGCCTGTAATCCCAGCACTCTGAGAGGCCGAGGTGGGCAGATCACCTGAGGTTGGGAGTTCAAGATCAGCCTGACCAACATGGAGAAACCCTGTCTCTACTAAAAATGCAAAGTTAGCCAGGCAAGGTGGTACATGCCTATAGTCCCAGCTACTCGGGAGGCTGAGGCAGGAGAATTGCTTGAACCCAGGAGGCAGAGGTTGTAGTGAGTCAAGATCGTGCCATTGCACTCCAGCCTGGGCAACAAGAATGAGACTCCACCTCAAAATAACAGAAAAAAAAATGATTTTTTTTTTGACAGTGTCTCTCTCTGCTGCCCATGCTGAAATGTGGTGACACGATTATGGCTCACTGCATTCTCGACCTCCCAGGCTGAAGCAATCCTTCTGCTTCAACTTCCCAAGTAGCTGGGACTACAGCCACCATGCCTTGCTAAGTTTTGTATATGTATATGTATATGTATATGTATATGTATATGTATATGTATATGATGTATATGTATATATGTTGCCCACCTGGTCTTGAACTCCTGGACTCAAGCAATCATCCTGCCTCAGCCTCCCAAAGAGCTGGGATTACAGGCAAGAGCCACTGCACCTGGTTAACCTTTTATTAAGGTCATGACCCAAGATTGCTCAGCTCAAGTTCCAAAGTTACAGCCCTAGTCCTCTACTGCATGAGCAAAAAGCGTGCATCCTGTTTGCTCTGCTTCCTAAAACAGAAAAGATATATGCAGTTAAGGCAAAACTGCATCAAGAATTAAAACCCAAAAGGGGGTTTTGGTTACCATAAAATTAAAAGAATAGTGCTCCCCATTTCCCAAGTGTTCCAGGTAACCAAAGCTTATCTCTACAGGACTTTAGGAGGCTTGTAAAATACTTAGTAGAACAAAATACAATAATTGCTTGTTAAAGGAAAGCACCTACCAGCTTTAAATGAATTTTTAGGGTATAGCCCCATTCTTTATCCCGATTCCAGATCAAATTCCTCTACCAGAAGTACTGTGACAATTGAAATTGAATGTTTCTTTCACCACTTCTGGTCCTGACCATCCTTGTTTCTGACAAGACTTCGTCAACAGCTGTACTTCTTAAGGAGGACTGCTCTGGGCAGCCATGTGTGATGTAGGTCCGGGAAGGAGGGGGATTCAGGCAAACTGGAGACAAATCCCAGACTTATGAGGTGCCTAGCGAGTGTCTAGCAGATGCAGGGCAGAGCCATGTGAGGCTCAGGAGGGTATAAGGAAGCTGTTTTGACCCAAAACAAGAAGAGAAGACTGGAGCCCAGACAACAGGGTCTTGGTCCTCATGGAAGAAAGGAACTGAGATGTGACATTGGACCTTGGAGCAGAGGCCACAGGCCCTGCTCTGCCCTTGAGGAGCTGCCAGTGGACTATCAAGGCGATAAGTGCCATGCACAAGAACAAGGAACTATGGGGGCCCAGGAGAGATGGTAAGTGGGTCTGATCATGTAGTTCAGGCAAGGTTTCATGCTGAAGGTGACACTTGAGAGGAGACTTGAAGGATTTTTCTAGAAGGAGGAGGGTAGGGGCCACTAGGTTGAAGGAACAGCTTGAGCAAAATTAAGGAGGTTGCAGTGGGTGAAATGGTGGTCCCCAAAAGATATGCCCACATCCTAAGCCCTAAAAGCTGTGAATGTGGCCTTGTCTGGATAAGCGATCTTTGCAATCTGGGTGGGCCCTAAGTCCAATGACACATAGAGAAAGATGCCACACAGAGGAGAGACATACAGAGGAAAGGAGAAGGCCACGTGCAGGAGGCGGCAGGGATTGGAGTGATGCAGCCCCAGCCAAGGTGTACCTGGAGTCAGCAGAGCCTGAAGGAGGCATAGAAGGACCTCCCCTGGAGCCTCTAAAGGAAGCATGGCCCTGCCAATGCCTTGATTTTGAATGTCTGGCCTCCAGAACGGTAGGAATAAATGTGTGCTGTTTCAGCCATCCAAGTGTCTAGTCATTTGCTGCAGCAGCCACAAGAAACTAATAGAGAGCTATGAACGGAACTCTAGTCCTGGGCCTGTTTGCCCCGAGAGCCACTCCTCATCCATTTCCTGCTCAACTGTCTATGGCAGGAGCTGACCCCTGCAGGCTGTGTTTCCCCAGCTGCCCCAGATCCCAGGGGGCTCAGCCAAGGAGACACTGACAAGAGCCTGAGGGTGGGAGGAAGAGAGCAGCCAGGGACCTTCCTCCCTTCTCTCTCAGCCTTGAGTGGCATCTCCAGTCAGTGTCCATCTCCTCCACAGCTCCAGCTCCCACCACATAGGATCACTGTGATTCCCGGGTCCCCTGAATGACCCCAGCCTCTCGCTCGAGCTGAAAGTCATGATCGCTTCTGGGATAATGACTCCAGAGTGACTAGAGCACAGAGCGGATGCAGGGAGGGAAAGCAACAATTTTTCCAGACTAGGGGCGCAGGGGGCAATAGTTTCTGGATGAAACTGTTCCACCTCAGATCATCAGACATTATACTCTCATAAGGAGCATGCACCCTAGATCCCTCGCATGCGCAGTTCACAAAAGGATTCACACTCCTATGAGAATCTAATGCGCTGGGTGAGCTGATCTGGAGGAGACGGAGCTCAGGCAGTAAGGTTCGCTCACCTGCCACTCACTTCCTGCTGCTCCTAACAGGCCACAGACCATAGACTGGTACTGATACATGGCCTGGGGGTTGGGGACCCCTGGGCTACTCCACAAACACTGAAATGACATTGGCACAAACAGCAGGGTCTGGGGGCTCCTCTCCGAGGGCAAGCATCAGCAGAAGCTGCAAGCTGTCATCCCTGACTTGACATCCACCGGTACCCAGCTGGTCGTCATGAAGGTGCCAGACATTTCTTGGTAGCAGATTGTATTTGTTTCCTGAGATGACCATGACAAAGTATCAGACTGTGTGACTTCAACAACAGAAATATATTTTCTCACCATTCTGAAGGCTGGAAGTCTGAGATCAGCATGTCAACTTCTTCCAAGGTAGGGCTGGTTCCTTCTGAGGACCCTGTCCCTGGCTAGCAGGTGAGCGTCTTCTCCCTGTGTCTTCATATGGTCTTTCCCTTTGTGTGTGTGCCCACATTTCTTCTCCTTATAAGAACATCAGTTACATGGGATTAAGGACCAGCCTAACAAACTCCTTTTACCATAATTACATGTTAAAGGCCCTCTCTGCAAATACAGTCACACTCTGAAGTACTGAGGGCTAGGATTTCACATACGGATTTCGGGGGGCAAAATGCAGCCCCTAGTCGGGACCTAGGTGTCAGTAGCAGACAGAGAGAGTGGAAGATATAGAATGTCCCGTGGGAACTGCGCGCACCCAGCAGAAGAGGCCAGCGCAGGTGGAAGGAAGGAAATGGAAGGTGCAGTGGAGGAGCTGACCTGACTACTTGGGCAAGTCACTACTGGACTCGCTTTTGAGAGCATGTGAAAAACCCCAAGGGCGCCCAGAAAGCTCTAGCTGAGGTGGTGCTGGTGGCTGGGATGGAAAAGAGTCAGTGAACAAAAGGTTTGCATTATTAATGAAACTCTGTACCCACAGGTGGATGAAATCAATTAGGGAGAAATCTGTAGATTTTGGAAGGAATTAAGTTCTTCCTATGGCCCGGCCCTCCCCACCACAACACAAACATACACAGGCAGTGTCTGGCCTCCTTTACATGGCATCCCTGCAGAGGTGAAAACAAGAAACCAGGCCATGCAGAGAGTCATTGCAAGTAAAGGGAGACTCAGATAGAGGCTGCGGGAGCCGGCCCGGCTACGTTTGTGTGTTGGCCACATGCAGCCTGTGCGGCCGCTCCAGGACCCTAAGCCTATGTCCAAGGGAGCCATAGACACGTGCTTTTGCTGATGAGCCACAATTTATTAATAGGAGACTCTGTGGGGTGCACCGCAATAAATTGTGATTCGTGAAATTTATAAACTGAGATAGCACTAGCAAGAGGTCCTGTGCATTGTAATTCTCTCGACCTGACAAATGAACTGCTTTGAGCAGCGACAGCTTCAGCCAAGTAAGAGAAATAAATCAGCCGGTGGAACTGTGGTAAGAAAGCAAACAGTTTTATTGGTCTACGGATCTTGAGAAATGTTGATTAAGTCAGATCTGGAACCCCCTCATAGTCGTTTTACAAGTTGCTTTATCCCAGAGACCCCCCAGGCCTCTCAGTATTACCACAATCTCCCAGGAAAAAGGAGGAGTGAGTTACACTGTGTTTAGGATAGGAAACAAAAATATATACTTTTATGGTCCTGGGAAAAGGTGAGTCGGACCATTCATTCGAGGAGGCTTCTGTATTTCCCAGGACTATATTAGAGGAAAACTCGTAGAAGCCTTTCCACACCTGATAACCTCTCAGTCTCCAGAGAGCAAAGAATAGAAAATACCTTGAGTTGTGGAAGCCACTGTGTGAAAACAAATTTAGAATAAATGAGACTGATCAGAGATTAGTGTTTGAACTAACAAACTATGGGTTTACTTGGCAAGTTAAGGGTAGAAACATGAATGCAGTGGGCCATGTTGAAACTGTAGACCCTAGAACAAACTGCTTTAAATTGTATTTATGTCTTGAGAGAACCCATTTGCTATCAAATAACTAATTACACTCCCGTCTGTTCATTGAACGAAGCCCCAAAAGACTCCCTTCCAGAAAGCGGTCTGGTTTCATTTCGTCCTTCCAGAAAGCCAATGGTTACATTTATTTTTAAATGTAGCCTTCAATTTCAAAATGTCATAGTCCAGACTTGTCTTCCTTCAGTTGATACAAACTACCAGGCAGGAACTATTTAATTCAGAAGTTTCTTTGCAAGACCCCAGGAGGAGAGAGGTAGCAACTTCAGAGAAGGGAAGGTTAGGAAAATATTGATTAGCCATCTATGTGCCAGGCAGCATGTTCAGGGCCTCACAACCTTCGAGAAGCTATTATCACCTCATTTTAGACAGGAGACTGAAACTCAGAGATGATCATTAATTTGTCATGGCCACTCAGCTTTGATTGGAAAAGGCAGGGACGGACTGACAACTAAGTTCATGCCCTTTCCAGGGTATCATGTCACCATTCAAAATTGAGGACCCTAGAATCTTCCAGTTGATCACTCTCTCCATGTCCCCCAGCCTCTTTCTGCCTGCAGATGCAGATTTAACTGGATCCCAGAGACGATCACTGCCTCCCTTATTCTTCACCATCTCTATGGAAGGAACCCCCACCTCCTCCCTGGGGCAAGATGCATAGGAAACTGAGTCTGTGCCACCCATGGGGCAAGGCTGCCATGCTTGGACAGAGAGGCCAGGCATTCCAGACAACACCCGCTCCACCTCCTTCCACAAGGAGAGGCTGCGGGGTAGGGTGAGGAGGTGCTAGGGAGTTTCCAGTTTCAGGAGCTGGTTGCCCTAAGATGGAGAAAGACAGGTCACAGCGGTGCTCCGGTGCAGATTTGAACAATTTGTTGCAACCACAGGAAACTTCCGAAATGTCTTTCCCAGCAGCTCTGGCTCCGCCAGGAGCAGGAGCATGTTTGTGTGGCTGCAGGGCACCGGCAGCAGCGCTCTGTGCTCTCCCGGCTCCCTGTGGCAACAGGAGCGAAAACTTCGGGGGGTCAGGCATAGAAACCACGGCAATGAAATCTGACTTCAAAAACACAGATGCCGCGATGTCCACTTCCAGAACACACAATGTCTGGACGGATCACCAACAAGATTCCTGCCACCTGAGGTGGAGGCAGGGCGGGAGGCGTGCCTCCGGCCTTGTGGCTTGTGGGGAAAGACCTGCCTCCCTTGCCCCCGCCCCCGCCCTCGGCCTTCACTCTCGCTGCTCATGCCTGCATTGTTGCGGAACTCTCAAGTGAGTGTTCTCTAACCACCCCAGTGGCCTCATTCCCAAACACTCCTCCCATCACTTTCCCCCCAGCTCTAAAAATTGTTCGCGCTTTCTCTTAGCCTAGAGCCGTGCTTGAAGGAGGATAGAATTTCCTGGGGGTCCTGTTAAAATGCAGGTTGTGATTCAGCAGGCCTGGGGTGAGCCCCGGCTTCTATGTGTCTAACAAGCTTTCAAGTCCAAGGATGCCATTGGTCCCAGGACACATTTTGAATGGCAAAGGATAGTACATATGTCCCAGATTTCTAAGGCTGGTGTTGAAAACTCTGGGCCTCTCCCCCTAGACTACCTTTCTTAACTCCTTGATCTCCTCCTCACCCCTGCAATGCTCCAGGCAGAGTCACCTGCCAGCCCACAGGCACACCCACACCCCAACTCGCCCACCGTGGGGGTTCTGTGCCCACCATTTCCCTCAGCAGCAAAGCTAGCTCCCAGCTCTGCTGTTCAAATCTTACCTCCTGCAAGTCCTAGCCTTCCCATAAAGACCATTGTCTTCCTTACAGGAAGAGCTGCATTCCAGAGCCGTGGCATACAAAGAGAACAATCTCTGCTTTCTCAGGAAGTGTCAAACCCAGGCATTGTTTGGGAGAGACAGATCTGGGCCGCCTCCCTAGAGTGGTGGAGCAAGGCCTGAGAGCTGCCTTGGCTGGGACCACAGCTCTCCGATGGGAAGCCCTGCTGCATGGTGGCCCTTTCGGAAGGGCATTCACTAGTCTGGTATGCTCAACAGTCTGGACACCAGGGTCCCTCGTGCAGTGCAGTGAATACCTGAGTCTGAGAGAATCTGGCTGATACAGATAGAATTTCCTTTTCCTGCTTCACCTTGGTGAGGCCAAATACCAGCTAACAAAAAGTGGATTATGTATTCTTTTTCTTTTTGAGATAGGGTGTCACTGTGTCACCCAGGCTGGAGGTGCAGTGGTGCCATCTGGTCTCACTGCAACCTCCGCCTCCCAGGTTCAAGCAATTCTCATGCCTCAGCCTCCTGACCTAGCTGGGATTCTGGGCGCGCATCACCACACCCGGCTAATTTTTGTATTTTCGGTAGAGACGGGGTTTCGCCATGTTGGCCAGACTGGTCTTGAACACCTGGCCTCAAGTGATCTGCCCACCTCGGTCTCCCAAAGTGTGGGGATTACAGGCGTGAGCCATTGCACCTGGCCTGTACTTTCTATAAAAATATTTTATGCCATCTGATATTTAACTGGGAAATGACTGCAGAACTCTCAGCCATCCTTTGTTTTAAATATTCAAAAGCATCTATCTGACACAGCACCTTAAGAAAGGCTATCTGGGGCACTCTTTAGTTTTTCTGTTTTATTCCTAATGGTGAAACTCCAGCCAAGATTTTCTGGTTGTGGAACCTCTTCTGATTCTGCCGGTTTCACTGACTGGAAATGATTGCTAATAGGAATGAAAATGTTCATCTTATCTGCCCCTCTGTTATTTGCAGAGGAGGGTGTGGTGTTATCAGTTTGCAGTGGGGTTTAGAGGTGGTGTCAGCCTTGCAGAAAGTTTGGTGGGTTTTCATTTCCCTGTCTTTGCTGTCTGCTGCTTTGAGGGAAATGGGTAACCGGATCTTAGAATCCCTGGATGTGAAGAGATAACATTGACCATAGGCAATTTTTACTGATAAAAATAATATATAGTTTTCAAGTAGTCCCATAATGAGTCACTTCTAAATAGTCAGAAATACATTTCCTGCTATTATTCTTTGAGACTGAATTGATAATTTTATAAAATTACTCCCCTTGCTAAGGTAGTCCTATTGAATGAATGCCGAATTTGCAACACGGTCTTAAATCTGCAGTAACCTGGTCTTTTGGGACCCACCAGATATGAATCAAAGTCCAGAGCATATTCTCTCATAAAAATTGTATTCTACTTGCTTCTTGCTGTTCACATTACCAAGAAAAAGAAATGTATTCTACATCTAGCTCCTCTTCCTGAAAATAACAAAGAATGGCATCAGAGCAAGAGTCAGACAAAATCTACTGACAAGAGTCCAGAATGCCAGGGCACTGGCTCTTCAGCCATCCTCCTCTTTGGCAAAAGGCAAACATCACAAATCACTGATGTATGGAGCCAAAGCCTCATCTAAGCACCGAGTGAGGCTGTGGGCTCTTGAAGCAAAAGTCAAGAGACCTGGATGCTATGTCCTGCTGCTCTGCCCCTCAACAGCTTGGTTACTTTGGGCAAGTCTTTTAATCGATGTCAGCCTCAGCTTCCTTATCTGGAAAATGGGGTTAATGACTGCCCCACTTTCCTTGCAGGATGGCTGTGACAGTCAAGCCAGATTGTTCCTGGGCAAGTACCTTCTAAATTTACACAAAGAGGTGAGTGCCGTGTGATTGGCAGGGAGTATCTGCTGCTGGTTCTGGGGCTAAACAAAGTAGTTCTGTCTTCTATTGTGCTCCCAGCCTTCCCTCCCAACCTGGGTTACCTTTTAAAGATAGAAGAATTGGCTTCTTCTATCTTTAGAATACTAAAGATATTACAGGCTCATGCCTGTAATCCCAGCACTTTGGGAGGCTGAGGTGGGCAGATCACGAGGTCCACAGATCGAGACCATCCTGGCCAACATAGTGAAACCCCATCTCTACTAAAAATGCAAAAATTAGCTGGGCGTGGTGGCACACACCTGTAATCTCAGCTATTCGGGAGGCTGAGGCAGGAGAATCTCTTGAACCCGGGAAGCAGAGGTTGCAGTTAGTTGAGATCACACCACTGCACTCCAGGGTGGCAATAGAACAAGATTCTGTCTCCAAAAACAGACAGAATAATTATAGTGGGGGCAGGGGTCAAAGTGGAAGAAGGAAAGCAACAGATATTTCAGAGGGATCAGAACCCTATCCATTTCACATGTGATTCTTTAGATCTGTCTCCTGCGTGTCCTCACTGAGTCCCCAAACAAATTCCCCAATCCCATCTTGTCACCCATCTCAGTAACAGAATTAGTTAATCCTAGTTAACCTAGATAACTTATCTTTCCCCCACTCCTAAGGAACAGAGGCCATCATTGTGTCTCCACAGGCTCTCTTAAGGGAGATTACCCTTCATCTTCTCCAAAAGGTGGAGAAGGAGACAGTCCTGATAGAAAAGGGAGCCTTCAAAGGATTCTAGTGCCTCCCCCAGGACTGGAAGGGAAGGGAGCTGTGATCCTAGGTGTGAAGGCTCTCCTTCTCTGGCAATCCTCGGGAGGCAGCAGGGTCTTAGGGAGAAATTGTAGCAATGACAAAGCTCTGCCAAGGAATGGTGGACTTCCAGGAGCATGAGGACTTAGCAAATGAACACATCAGTAGTCACCCCTGTGAACCAAAGACCAGAGGACTCTATCCAAATGATCTGGGTGAATGTCCACAGGAACTGAGAGGAAGGGTCATTACAGGAAGGTCTGCAACTGAATTTCCTACCACCCTGGCAGGATGGCTACAGTAGCAGATCAAATTTAGCTGAAAGTAATACAAGAAACGTGCAATTTCTTATGCCCTATTGTTAGTGTAGAATTCACATGCCTGCTATCTTTCTGAGACATTCTGGCAGATAACCCTGCTTGCTTTGGATACTCCAGAGTTTGGGAGAAACAGTTTGAAAGATCAACACAAGCTCTTTCTGAAATTACCTTCTGCTCCCTCCCCCAATGAGAATTTACCCAGGGAAATAACAGCCCAGCAGATATTTCCCCCATAGCCTGAAACCCGAGCCATAGATGCCCTACCCTCAGCTCACCCACAAGCACTTCTCAGCAAACCTGGAGGAGAAAATAATGTCTTATCTTTCTTATGTTCAAAAACGAACACACAATAAACACATCAAGAAATAAATACAAAACTTTATGACTAGCAAACATTGCCCACAGTTACCAGGCAAGAACTAAGGTTGAACTGCTCTCCCAACCAATGCTCACAATTTTGGAAATAGAAATGTTATTGTCCTTATTTTACCCTGAGACAATTAAGGCTCAGAGGTGTTAACTAACTTGCTAAAGATATCGAGCTATTAAGTGGCAGAGCTAGGATTAGAATCCAAATCAGCATTCTATTCTACTGCACAACATAATCCCAGTTATCTGGTATTCTCTAGCAACATGCTTCTGTTGTTTAGTTAGTACCATGTGTGCGTGTGTGTGTGTGTGTGTGTGTGGTGTGCGTGTGTGTGAGAGAGACTGAATGTAGAATAGAAAACACAGATTTTAAAATGTAACCATTGCCATATTTGTTGAACTCTGGAAGGAGAAACTGTGAGTTCCAGTAGGCGTCTGTTGAGTTTCAGCTGAAATGTGCCCACCGGCTGATTTAATGTGATAATCAGGGGTGGGGGCCCTGGTGACAGGCTATGATGTATTGGCTGTTGTTCTGCACTTTGATGTCCCTTGGAATTTGTCAAAACTTCACTTCAGCACTCCAAAAAGTGCCATGATGTCATCCGTCCCACTCTCTGTCTGCAGGAGCAAATGGCAGGGGAGTGGCTGTCCCTGGAGTTCAGGTCAACAGCAGGTCGGAGAGTGGCAGACCTTTCCTGAGGACAGCCGGCGGCAGCCGCTCCCCAGGCTCACCACCTCACAGCCAGGGGATTCCTGTCTCTGGGGGATAAAAGTCTTTGCTGTCTCTGAGTGAAGGGGGACTGCGGATCCCTCCTGTCCCAGCTCAGTCACGGGCTTGTGGAAAAACGAATCCTCTTCCACACCCTTAGTCATAGGGACTGAGCTGCAGGCGAGGAAGGTGGGCAGGGCTGGTGGAATGAGGGGGACATGCTGGCTGAGTGCGCGGCCTCCAGGACACTCCCCGCCAGCAGCCCGGGTCAGGAGCCAGCCTCCGCCATCCCCTGAGGCAGCTGTGGTCACACTGAGGTAGCAGCAGGCAGAAGGACGTGCTGATGCACAGCCTCAGGGGCCAGATGAGTCACCCCTAGGGTTTGGCCAGCTGGAGAGCGGGGCCTGGTTCCCGAGGCTGGTCTGGACAACATAAAGATCTGGGAACACTGCTGGCTCCCAGCACTGGGGATCTGTAGCGGCTTCTGAGAGCCGCTGGTCTCTGAAGAGTCACCCTGTCACAGAGGTGAGGAATGGCAATGTTTGGGGAAATGGGGTTAAGTGGGAGAGTGGTTTGCCTAGAAAACCCCATCATGCTTTTGGGTTGCCTCACGTTGGCCTCTTGATAGGACTGGACCTGTCAAGTGGGATCCCAGTGGGTCCCTGGTACCGTGCCATTGGAATCATTGTCCCAATCTTCCCAGCACAACATGACACCACCTCTATTGAGAAGTCAACCCCCAATCCAAGAAAAGCCATATGCCTTAGCTCATTCAGGCTGCTATAACAACATACCATAAGCTGGGTGACTTATAAACAACAGAAACTTATTTCTCACAGTTCTGGAAGCTGGGAAGTTCAAGGCCAAAGCACTGGCCAATTCCATGCCTGGTAAGGGCCTCTTTCCTGATTCATAGAAGGCACCTGTCTGCTTTGTCCTCCCACAGTAGAAGGGACAAGATCGCTCCCTTTATAAAACTCAGTCATGAAGCCTTCTTCCTCATGACCTAATCACCTTCCAAAGACTGCACCTGCTAATACCATCAGTTCTGGGGTTAGGGTTTCAACATATGCATTTTATAGGGACATAAACATTCAGTCTATTGCATGGCATAACTCTTCATTTTATTTTTATCTCTCCAAACCTTAGTTTCCAGATCCATAACATGATATTTGTAATGTCCTACCTTAGAGAGTTGTTTTAAGAACTAAGTGATCATGTACATTAAAATGTTTAAGCACAGTGCCTGGTGTATAGTAAGTACTCAGTACATATTCATTGGTTTCCTTCTTTCTTGCTCTCTCTTTTCCCTCCAAATCCCCAAATAAAAATAAACACCATTTTGCAATAACTAAAACTTAGGAAAGATGATGTGACATCGTCA